TTTTTTTTTTTTAGTTTTTTTTGTCTTATTTATATATATATATAGATCTGTATATATTTTTATATTTTTTCTCGTACATATATATATATATATATATATATCTATATCTTATATTATAATCACAAATAACTCAAAATATAAATATCAATATCTGTTGTAGAGATAGATAGATTGCGAGCGCGCTCACACACACTCTTTCTCTGTCTGTGCGTGTACGCACACACATACATATTTATTTTTTTTTTATATTTTTTTTTTTCTTTTTCTCTCTCTCTCTTTTTTTTTTTATTTTTTTTTTTATTTATATATATATATATATATATATATATATATATATATATATATATATATATATATATATATATATATATATATATATATATATATATATATATATATATATATATATATATATATATATATATATATATATATATATATATATATATATATATATATGATACGGGCTAGTTTGACAAGTAACAAATAAGCATAAGCCCATTAGGGTAAGCCCAATATGATAGGCCCACAACGAAGAACCCATGACGACTTAGCTCGGTATTATGAGTGAAGTCGCCATATGGTGCGAACCTCGGGAACCACGTGGGAGTACCTTAACTCGCCAGCCCAATACCAAAACGGGGTAGGGCGAGCCCAGGACAATACAGGCCCAAGATACATGACTTGGGGGAAAGTAGAAACCCTAAAAAAGGAAAGCCTTGAAGGCCAAGCTTTCCTCATCTATAAATAAGAGAATCAACACACGCACACACATAAGAAGATACACCAATCACTGTTACATTGCATACACGTTTTTTCCTCTATTCCGATCACTGACTTGATCGTCGGAGCTTTCCCGCCGGGAATCCCTCCCGGCGTTGCAGGTATCCTCACCGGAGTACGGACCCAGCTGACTTGAAGAAGAAGGAAGCCCTACGGACAAAAACAAGTGGCGCCGTCTGTGGGAACAGCCTTATAAGTTTGGAGCACAATTTCCAGGAAAAACACCAGATCTGCCCTTGGAAATCCAGATCTGAGTTAAGAACGTTGAGAAAAAATGGAAGAAGAAGGCACGATTACCCGAAACCTGCAAAGGGAGCTGGACGCAGCAGCTCGTGACACGACTGGTGTCGATCCGTCGTCTGTCCTGAAGGAAAAATCGGGATGCAGTTTACTTACGCCTGAAAAGGAAAGACGGATCCCACTCTTCTCGAGTAGTCATTCTTTCGAGTTTCTGAGCGGAGAAGCCGTTTCGAAAAAACCACCTGCGGTCCCATCCCCCGACGAGCGAGCATACAAGAAGGACGAAGTAGATGCCATGATTGCTACAGCCATTCGGAATTACGCTCAATCTCTGCCCCAGGATAACCGACCTAAAAGAGATCTAAGGCGTCCTCCGAACGAAGGGCGAGCAGAAGACGAATGTGACAGTTACTCGGAGAACCGAAGAGATGATAGTCATGGTGTCAGGACCGAGATGGACAGCCTCAGACGTGATATGAACGAATTGAAAGCCCTCCAAAATGGTTCAGCACGAGTTATTGGAGGATCTAGCCCTTTCGCAAGACACCTAGACGATGACCCCATACCCGCTAATTATCGACCCATTTTGTTCGAATACAATGGTACATCAGATCCTGCGGAACACCTAAGTCGCTTCAACAATACCGCATCCCTTCATCAGCTCACGGAAGGGGTGAAGTGTCGTGCTTTTGTCACCACCTTGGCTGGGCCGGCTCAGTCCTGGTTCGGGTTGTTGCCCCTTGGGAGCGTACATTCTTTTGAGCAATTTGCTAAGGCATTCGTAAATCAGTTTGCCAGCTCGAAGAAGTGCAAGAAGACTTCTCTGTCGCTGTTCAGCATTCGTCAAAAGGAGAAGGAAAGCCTCAGGAATTATATCAAGCGATTCACTTTGGCCACGTTAGAAGTCCCCACCACCAGTGACGAAGTGCTCATGGCAGCCCTTTCACAAGGACTGAGGGATGATGAGTTCTTCCGAGCTCTAGCGCTGGAACCCTCGCCTGATTTTGATAATTTGTTGGAGAGAGCATCCAGGTTCATTAACTTGGAAGAAGCTCGCCAGCAAAAAGTGGAAGAGTCTCACCAAACCACGAACGCACGATTCAACGAAGTAAAGAAAGGCAAGGAGCCCATGTTACCTCGAAGGGATGCCAGTACTCCTAGCCGGACCACCACTCTAGACGCTAAAGGGTCTCGGTATCAATCATACCAACCTCTTACGGCC